TGATACTTGTAAATAGCTCTTTATAAGTTTTATTCCTGGGTGCCATTGGTCATTCACAGTTCCTGGGAAATATTTTCCAAATGCCATATTTTCTCCACAACCCAATGAAATATCTGTGTGGATTTGTGGTGCCAAGGGTGTCCTTCCTACCATCCTGGGCTGCAGCTGTCCCTTGGCCTTGGCTGCCTCCCTCACGTCAGATCATCATGGCACCTTCTTTGGATGGGGACCCACTGATGGGAGTGGGGAAGTACTTTGTCACGATTTCACCAAAGCAGATGATAAAACTGGAAGAAATGCTCGTATGCACTGTATGGTCTGCTCACATGCCACAATCACTTGGCAGAGAAAGACATATATCACTAAACTCTAGTTATGCTATATCTACATATATAACTCAGCTAGTCACTGAAAAATAGCGATCTCAAATATTCTAGTGAACAGAATGCACCTTTACTTGCTGCTTAGCAAAAGCCAACGTTTCTCCTTTGTGTTCTTAAAATTATAGATGTAATGCATGTTTGTTGTAGCAAGTAGAATACGCAGAGGTAGAAACAGAACACTTTAAATTTCCTTTCTTCTTCTAAATTGTCCCTGCCCCCTGGGTAATCAGAGTATTCCCTCTTCAGATAAATCAATGCATATTTTTTAGGGTTCACCCCTCCACTCTGACTTTTCTTTCCCAGCATAAATGGGACTATACAATATGCATTCCTATTCAAATTGCTTTATTTAACCTAACAATTTATTATGAGTATCCTCCCAAGTGAGTATATTTAACTCTAATATATTCTTTTAAAATAGCTGTATAACAGTAACTAGGAGAAAAAGCTATCTGCTGAATTTCAATACATCATCAATTTTAAGAGTTAATAATTGCTGATTTTTTTTTTTTTGGAAGGAAGTGAAATGTTAAATAGACCAATTTATATTAGGAAACATTCTGACTTACTATGGACAAAAATATACAAAAAATATATGTATATATATTACACATATATATAGGAAATATAGAGAAACTAGGAAGTTCTTGAATCCCAATGCAATGGTAACCAAAATCTCTGAGGGTGTCTGGAGCAAGTTTCTGTATGGGAAACAAGGTTCTTGACTAGGTCTTGGTACCAGGAGCACCTCACTGTGGCATCCTCCCTTCTGGGGCCTGACCTTACATTTGGCATCTCTCCAGGGCTACTATTTCTCGTGTAGCATTGACTTTCTACTTCTGGGATCTGGCTCACTGAGGGAGGAAGAGAGAAGATGCTGCAGGCATTAGCATGCAGATCACACACCCTCCCTTTGTTCTCTGGGCTGAGGTCAGATGGAATTAATCACTCAGCCTCTGCATGCAAAGTCCTTCACCCTCCAAGTGTGCACTGCCCATTTTTAAATCAACGGTTAGAGTCAGCAGGAGCAAAAGAGAACCAATGAACCTCTTTGCCTGGTAAGTCACTGCTCCCAGGAACCCATAGCTGTGGGGGTTCTCTGCTGTTCCCAGGGTATTTGCATTTTAGGTGGGAGCAGCCAGTCCACACTCTTTGAGGTCCAAGAATACACACTGCTACTAGGAAATGCCATGTTTGATCATTTGCTTTATGAGTCTCTACCAGGCCTATGCTGTGCACTTAACATATAGGTGTCCCCCCAAATATGTATACACACTTTAATAGTTGAGAACTCGATATTGAAAATGAAATGTATTTTAATAAGCACTGCCTTTATAATTATTTAAAATGTGTGTATACATTTTTTTGAGACACCCTATATATCACTTGACCCTTCCTGGATCCTATGAGGTAGGTGTTATCTGCATGCTACAGATGAAGAAGCTAAGGCTCAGAGAGATTCTGTGGTCTGTCTGAGACCACACAGCGTTAGGGTATAAGCAGCGAGAATGTGTGCGTCCTCATTGAGCCACAGCTGGCTAAATGCAGGTGATCCCTGCTGTCTGGAGTTACTCTGCAGGTGCCCTGGTCTCCTATACCAGCTGCGCTATCAATGTATTCATCTTTCTTAGGCCCCGGAGTTCTCAAGATGTGGACCCTAGTTGGGCTCTGCACAACAGAGCTAAATAGCTATAACCCAAATAGACGCTCAAATTATTTGTCCGAGCCCCTTAAAGTCTGTAAACACACGGCCTTTCAAGTCCACTCAGGTGTTCTGACCATAATGACAAGCTTTTACACATAACGGGGCCATAAAGATCATCTTACTGAGACCCTCATTCTATGATGAGCAGCCAGGGTAGTGGACATGTCCAGCTGGGTGGTGGAAGTTGGGGGTGGGTGACAGGTGATGGAGGTGGAACAGTGACAGCAGGGGCTGCAGAAAGGGCTAGAGCAGGGTTGACAAACTATGGCCTGTGGGGTGACCCAGCTCTCCCGTTTTGGCAAATATGGGAACACAGTCACGGTCCTTTGTATGCGTAGTCTATCTCTCGCTTCTCGCTACATCAGAGTGGAGTAGTTGCCACAAAGACCGTAACACCCTCAATGTCTAAAATATTTACTATATGGTCCTTTATAATAAAGGTTTGTTGACCCTTAGGAAAGACAGAGGCACCCAGGTTGATACGAGTTATTGGTAACTTTCTAGTTCTTAGAGTGAGTGTTGGGTTCACAAGTGTTATGCTGTGATGAATTAATGACTGAAGGCTACATATAGGCCATCGACAGTCATGTACCATCAAGGAATGATCATTATTAAATTCTCAGCACCTGAAAATAGACCAGATGATGGGAAGGAAGAGAGGAAGGATGGAACCATTTAGCCCTTGTTAAGATTTAAATGGCTCTCTGTCGCCTACACCTAACTTTCCCCCATTGCATCTCCCATGCTCTGAGGTGTTGGAGGACAAGAGGTAACGGCTGAGTAAAGCAGGTTGTCAGGAGGGACACGATGAGAATATTGGGTTCTCTGAGACAGAAAGTAGAAGAAAAAGGATTCCTAAGAACAGTGTCTTAAGGACAGTCACAATCCAAATTTTCAACTTCATGCACAAGGGCCTCTTCCCTTGGTACAACCAGACTGGCCTGAGGGGCCAGGGCTCCGGGTCTTGTCAGGACCTCCCTCTACCTGTCAAGTCAAGGTTGGCCTTTGAAAGCCAGCAGCATGACAGTCCTGGGAGACATCCTCATGGGAAACTGTGAATATTTATGAAGGCACTCTGGGCCACAACATGTATTGCTTTATTTAACTCTGGAACAATCTTGTGAAACAAGGACCCCTATTATCCCCGTGTTACAGATGACGCTACGAGGCTCCTAGTGCGCAAGCCACTCGCCCAGAGACATAGAGCTGGCGAATGATGGAGCCAAATTCAAACCCAGACTCCTCTGACTCCAAACTCCTCACTCAGCAGCCCTATTTCACTGCCGGAGGTCGGGAAGCCCACGCTGCCTCAGGAAAAGCACGCTTTTACCTTTACAAGGATCCCCGTGCCTCCCAGAGCGTCTCGGCAAGTTGAAGGGCAGCTGCAGGCATCCCCACGACAGCAAATGTCAGGGGATTTGCACGCTCAAAGCAATGTTCAGGTGTCCGGCGGGAAAGCTCCCAACAGCTTCAATTAGACAACAGTCACAGTTCATTGAGGCCCGAAGCCCACGGGGGGGTGGAGGGGCTTTATTGTTTTATATGTGAAAAATCAGGGAAACGATGAAAGATTGAGAAGTATTTCCAAAGTCACGTGAACCAAAAGGTCAGTTGGGTGGGAGTGGAGGCGGCAGGAGGGGGAGGTGGGGAGCCAGCAAAGAAGCAGCTGAGAAGTATTTGTGGCACCAGGGAGAATAGACTGGGATGTGCGCGAAAGGAAACCGTGGCTATGAATTTCAGGGCATCAAGGCCCTGTCAACACAGCTAATCCCCACGGATGTTGGCTGAATAAGCCTCCGATGACCGAACAAGTGCACTGTGGAAACGGTGTCAGCTGCCAGCAGGCCAATTTGTCCTCACATTACACACTCTGCTGGCTCCGCTGCCAGACCCCCAGCTCGAGGATCCACGGTGAGCGGCCCCCGGCCCGCCGAGGGCTGACACAGCACCGTTACTAAGTCAACAGGATTCAGAAACCGCGACCGGATTAAGAAGGCGGTTTTATTTTGGTGCCCTGGACTTCAAGCAGATTAAATAATCAAAAAGCCTGAGCCATCGGGGTCATGTTTGAATGCTACAGCTGTTCCCCGAGTTGACAAACGTTCTTTCTGTGGCTCGTCATCTGAATGGGACAGGCAGGGATGATCTGAGGGAGGTGGACACTTTCAGAAAGAAGAGGGGCGCAGTCAAAAGACCCTGGAATGGAAAACAATCCCAGCCAGATGGAGGCAGGGGAAGGGCTGCTTGGATAAGTGGTCCCCTGAAAGCCACAGCTGTTTTCTGCCTTGAAGAAAGCACGAGCAGGGTTCAGAAAAAGCGAATGAAAGGCTGGCCGGCGCACTGGCTGTGCCCTCAGCGTGTTGATCTGCTGGTTAATAAAGGAGGGCTGCGGGTTCAAGTCCGATGCCTGCGGAGACTCAGTCATGAAAGGTGAGCCCTGATGCGTCCCCTAGCCCCTTAGGAAAGTTCCCTAGAGAGGAAAGGGATCCCCTAAAAAGGTGTCTATGGGAAACCTTGTTTCAAGTTGTCTTTCTCTAAAGGCCAAAGAGAGTTTAAAAAATGTCTCTAAGGGAGAATTTATGCTTGTGCCATGCTTGGTCAGAGGCAGGGCTCGGAGATGAATGCGCCCAGCCATGATCAGGTGTGGGGTTGGCATGCGACCGGCCATTTCATACAGAACACCATGCTTCAAGTTGGAGTTCATAGATCATCCCCCTCGGAGGAGGGTGGAGCGGGGCAAAAGGAAGAATGAACAGAGGCTGCAATCTCAGGAAGACAAGCCTTTCATCAATAGGGTGGCAGATTCTGTGCAAAACACGTTCTCTGGGTGAAGATTTGTTTTCCTACAACCAGTTAACGCCTGAGACCCATTGCTAACGTGTGACTGTCGACTCATCTCTGATGGGGAGATGTTTGGCTTTGAAAGGCGCCATTTAGATTATCTGCAGACTTATAGAAAGGAAAACAAGGATTTTGCTCTTTTTTATTTTGGAAGGGGGAGGGGGCTGTGACATCCTGCATCCATCGAGCTAAGCTAAACTGAGCAGAACCTCCTCCAAAGTCTCTTTGAACATCTTTCCTTTGCCCCAGAGCACTGTTCACATCAGGAGAGAATTCAAGGAACAGGCTCCAGTGCATTTGACAGCCACATTTTATTTCCCCTAGTTAAGGCCCAAAACAAACAAGCAAACAAACCTCTTTCAAGATCATTTTTTATGAGTAGATAATTATTTCGAGTTTTCAATATTATCGTGTGGCTTTGTGAATTCCTCTACCAATGGAACAAAATGTCCTTGACAGATGTTTGCCCTATTTTGGAATTCAAGTTCTCAGGAACAAAGAAGGGAGTGATACAGCTACTCTGAAGAATGATCTAGCAGGATCTAGAAAATCCACCATCCTCTCTGAGCCCTGCAAGGAGGCTCTTGTTGATTCTAGAGACCCTCTTGCACAGTTCCTCACGGCCAAGGGGCTCCATGCAAGAATGCTCTTTGCAGCATCAGTTTCCTCACCTTCTACTTTCAAAAAGGGATAATAGTAGAAACAGGTTTACAAGGTTATGAGGTTAAATTTTTATATATCTATATCTATATATAGATATAGATATATATATATGTAGGTAAATAGATATACATACATCTATATATATATCAGAATGGTGCCTGGCTCAAAGCACATGCTGTGTGGTTATTTGCTACTGTTGTAATTAAGGTTTTTAAAAGGCCTTGTGAGATATGGCAGTATGGTGGGGAAAAGGGGATTCATGAGGGAGTTCACCTGTATCAGTAATGCATGGTTTCTTTGAGTGAGAATTTAAAAAAAAAGGAGTATGAAAACCCATCAACGATTGCTTTACAGGAAGATGGGTGTTCATTATATTATCCTTCNGGCAGTATGGTGGGGAAATGGGGATTCATGAGGGAGTTCACCTGTATCAGTAATGCATGGTTTCTTTGAGTGAGAATTTAAAAAAAAAGGAGTATGAAAACCCATCAACGATTGCTTTACAGGAAGATGGGTGTTCATTATATTATCCTTCATGCATTTCTGTATTTTTATAGAATTCTTGTATAAAAAAGAGGGGGGCAATCACCTTTCATGGAATTATTACACCTGCAAAGATGGGCATCTATATGTAGGAATGCTTTAGACCTGCCCTATCCAATATACCACCCACTGGCACCATGTGGCTATTTACACTTAAATTAATTAAAAATAAATGCAAATAAAAGTTCAGTTCCTGTGCTACAGTCGTCACATTTCAGAGCCCAGTAGCCACATGCAGCCAGTGGCTACCATACTGGATAGCAGACGTAGGCTGTTTCCATTCCCACAGAAAGTACTAATGGACCACACTGATCCAGAGCATACTTTCCAGAAATGCAACTATCTGAACTCCTTGTCACCCTTCTACACTCTGGCCCTGATAATTTTGCTGTCCTCTACCAAGGGCACATGTCTCGATAGGACTTTTTTACATTTCTACTCAGCATCCTAAAGTCTTCCATGTTCTGATTTCTGAGCCACTGAGAAAGGATCTTTTCCAAGGCTTCTGACAGTGTTAGCACCGAGGCTGCAGTAACTATTGACACTGGGGATGTACCCAGCCCAGCCCAAGTCTACCAAAGGCGGTGAACACTAGAACCTCTCTTTCCGTTGTGGAAAGTGTTAGCTGCCTCAGAATTGCATTGCCTGTGATTCCAAAAGGGAAGAAATGAAGGCACCACTTACAAACTGGTTCCATCCCAACTACTTTCTGTTTGTCGTAGGTGAACTGCTCCTGCTTTCAAGTGTGGTTGTCCTGCTCCGGGGGCTGTGTGGCTGCCCAGAGAAGTGCCACTGTCACTGGGCCTCAAATTCTGTAGACTGCAGCCGGCAGGGTCTGGCTGAAATCCCTCCCAATTTGCCTCCTTGGACTCTAACGCTACATTTACAGGATAACCAGATACATCAGCTTCCTGCTTCTGCATTTAGGTCAGTGCCACTGCTCACTACCTTGAATCTGGGCAACAATTCCCTCTCCAACCTGGCCCCAGGAGCTTTCCATGGACTTCAGCACTTGCGGGTCTTAAACCTAACCCAGAACTCCCTGCATTCCTTGGAAAGCAGGCTTTTCCATTCCCTCCCACAGCTGAGGGAGCTCGATCTGTCATCCAACAACATCAGCCGCCTACCCACCTCCCTGGGTGAGCGCTGGGAGAACCTAACTCTGTTTGCGATCCAACGAAACCAGCTTCGGCAGCTGGACCGAGCACTCCTAGAATCCATGCCCAGCGTGAAGCATTTATTTCTCAAGGACAACCTCTGGAAATGCAATTGCCACTTGCTGGGTCTCAAGCTCTGGCTGGAGAAATTTATCTATAAAGGTCAGTAACTTCTGTTTGGAAGCCCTGTCTCTGTGTTACTAGCCTAGGATGAGCCTTATCTGTTCTCTGCATTAGAAAGGATGTTTGGGGGTGTGCAAGGGGCCCCATAGAAGCTTTTTCCATTGGTGTCATTTCACAGGACGACAAAAGAAGTGTCACCAAAAGATGTTTAAATTGAGGTATTTAAATTCATCTACAGATATAGTTCATGGAGATAACTTTCCACTTTTTGAATACAACAGCATTAAATTATTTATCTGGAAACTGTAGCCCTTAAGGAGGAGGGAAATTCAATCTCCACCTGAATAACTACTAAACTCCAAACTGGAATCAAATTCTATTTTCAAAAGTGACCCACCTGGGGCATGGTATCTCTCCTCGGCACTTTTCCCTTCTGTGTCTGCCTCTACCCATTGACAGCTATAAATCTTCCCTAAGATGATCCCTCTGCTTTAGCAAGTGCATTATTGAAGTTGGATGCAATAGGACCCCCTATCTAAAGGTACTATTGCTTTAACCAGATGTCAGAATCAAAGCAAGAGATCCTAGAATATTAAAGATGAGGGGCTCTGGAAATCCCCCAGGGCTCAGCAAACAACAGCCCAAGGGCCAAATCCAGCCAAGGGCCAAGTCCAGCCCACACCCTGTTTCGGTAAAGAAAGTTCTATTAGAACACACCCATGCATGTTTATTTTTATTCTTTGTGGCAGTTTTTCACTCTAAGGGCAAACTTGAATAATTTTGGCAAAGTATCTACAGCAAAGCTTAAAATATTTGCTACCTGGTCCTTTATAGAAAAGTTCATCAAGCCCTTCTAACTCAATATTAGCTTGTTATCCATGGGAAACGGGGGCCCAGAGAGGTTCAGCAACTTGCCCAAGATGACAGAGTGGAAGCTCAGAAGAGAACAGAATGAATGGCTTTTGAGTCTTGGCACTAGTTCTTTCCTCTATGTCACAGAGGTTCAGCCATTCAGCCCTACATTTGAGTGCCTCTTATGTGCTGGCACTTTTCTAGGCACCGAGAAAAGGTCATTGAACAAGAAAATCCCTATTATCTCGGAGGTTCCATTCTGATAGTAGAAACAGATGGTAAGTCAGACAACAAATATCCATGTTCAGGACACAGGTAGTGCCAGGGAAGCAGTGAGGCAGGGCAAGGGGAGAGGGAGGGATGGGAAGGGGCCCCACTTTAGACAGGAAGGATAGGGAGAGCCTCTCCAAGGAGGTGACATGAGGGGCAAAACCTGAGCAGGAGGAAGGAGCCATGAGATAATACGGGGGAAAAGATTGTAGCGCAGAGGGCCTGACAAGGGAGTGAACTTGGCTTGACTAAGGGCCAAAGAGCGTCTGGAGCAGAGGAAGGGAGTGAGAGAGCCCACGGAGATAAGGTAACATAAGTCCTCAAGGCCCAGGCATGTGGGAACCTGCAGAGCAGGTTGAGACTTTGAATTTTATTTTAGGTGAGATAAAAATCTCTTGAATTTTATTTAAAGGAACAATATGATCTGATTACATTTTAAAAGGTCACTCTGTTGACTCTGGATAGAGCTGACCGAAGGCTGCCCAAGAAGAACCAGGGAATGAGGCAGAAAGTAATTGCAGCCATCCAGGGAAGAGATGGTGGTGGCCCAAACCAGGTGGTGAGAAGTAACCGACCTTGGGAGATATCTGGAATACTGAACTGATTGAAATTGCTAATGGGTTGGGCTAGAAAATGAAGAAAAGAGAGTAAATATGGAAAATTCAAACTTTTGTTCTGCAGGAGTAGCCAGATACATGATGCCTATAGCTGATAAGGGGCAGACTGGGGAGGGGGGAAGGGAAAAGTGGGCGAGTGTCTGTGAGAGGTGGCAAATAAGACTTCAGTTTGGGGATGGTCAAGTTTGAGATGCTCATTTCTTTTCAAGGGAAGCTGGTGAGTTAGTGGATGTATGTTTGAGTCAATAATTCAGGAAGGCAGAGGAGCTACAGATGTGACTTAGGGACTCAGCAGAGTCTGGATGGCTGCTGAGCAGTTACACAGAAGGGAGCAGGTTAGAGCCCAACAGGAGTTCAAGTGCACAATGTTGAATTGAGAATCCCTCTCAACAATGTAAAAGCAAATAGCTTATCACTAAGCGGCTAATCTTTGAGTTGACCTACATCAGGGGCTACATATTACGCCAAAATTCTTTCTTATAAGTGGTCGTAAATAAAACTTCACATCTAGAGCTGAAGTGGCTTTAGCTATTGTGTTCTAGATTAAATGGGAGGCATAAGCCGAACCACATAAAAAGATAGTTTCCATCAAAGAACATTTCTTGACAACAACAACAAAAGTTCTTAAGTTCAGGACATGGGACGGAGCGACACTTCCTGTGGTCTGACACAAACTCGCTGGTGACCTCTGGACAGCCGTGCCCCTCACCAGCTCTCAGGGTCACAGGTGGAAGCTGACAGTGTAAAGCCAGGGAGCTCCTGAGACCTATTCTGGTCCTCAGATTCCATGACTCAGTCCAATGCTCCCTCACGGCAGAGCTGCCTGGCACAGACATCAGTCTTTCTGCGGGAGGTAAAATTGATTTGGAATCACAAGATCTGGGTGACCCAAAATAACTAGGAACCCTGCCCCCCAAAAAAAACTCCTGCCAAATATAGGAGACAATCTGACTACTGATGTATTATAAAAAGGTAAAAAGGGGCCTAGGTATCGGTCAAGACCTCATTTATAAAAAGATATATAAATATATACAAACACTAACAGTATTAGCCAGGGCAGGCTGATTGATATGACAACCACCTTGGTGACACACACGATAAAAGGCACTCATGTTAGATCTGAGGGAATTGGGGCAGGGGCTTGGGTCTATGCAGTCATTCAGGGACTGAAGCCCCTTCCAGCTTTCGACATGGCCAACTTGACCACATGGCCGCTAAGGTTAACACCAAATGGGAACGAAGTGTTTAGAGGATTAAGCAGGGGTTTTGTGGCCTAGAAGTGACATTCACTGGCTCCAGTGGCCAGAAGTCAGTCACATGGCCCCAAGCTGACCACAAAGGGTGGGGATATTTCATCTTCCTGAGGGCCCAAGAGCCAAAACACATGCTTCGATGAATTCTTAATAATATCTCCTCCACAAAAACATGTGCATAGATTTCGTAATTAGTATTCCTCTCCATTCATAAGTTACAGATCATCTTTATGCTAATAGCTGACTGTATTAAACATTTATTCTAGGGTAGATACTGTGCTAAATGCTTGATATACTTTATCCAGTTGAGTTCTCAGGGCAATCTTATGGGGTAAATTTCATTATTTCCCCCTCCCACTTTCCAGATGAGCAAGCAGAGGCCCAGAAAGGGCAAGCAATTTGCTTAGGACTGTACAGCTAAGTAATGGTCAGACTCAAGATTTAAAGCGAATTTCTTCTAAGACAGTGGTTAAGAACTACTAGTGACCAGGACAGGCTGATTGAATAATCAGTGCTTGGTAAGCTGGAGCCTCTTGCATTGTCGGTTTCTATGAATCTAGAAGGGTGTGGGACCCTCAAGCTGTCATTAGCAGACTTGCCTCCTGGGGTACAAGGCTGGGAGGTGAATCCTGGCTAAGGACACAGCTGCGCAGGAGGCCATGGAACACTTGGTGGCCACGACCCCTGCCTTCCAGCCATGTCCCAGGCTCTAGTCCATGTATTTCCTCACCACTGGGTCCAAAGGCCGTGGCCCCCACTCTAATATTGAGCAGCAGAAATCTTGGGACTGGAGAACCACAGAGCTTAAGCCTGGAGCGACGGGGTGAGCGCCAGTTTCGGAGTAAACCCTCTGATGCAACTGCTGGGCCCCTGGCAGGTGGGCTTTCTTCCCCTGGTGGCAGTCTCAGAACTCTTTTGCCAGGTTGAGTATCTACTTCTTCTCAAAGCCCCATACTTCATTCCTATCTCTCTGGCCTTCTGCCTTACAACAAAACCCAGGGCATGGCATAAAATGGTCCATGAGGGCGACCCTTAGTCACACGCAGCCTGGTGGCACCCTGGGCTCCTCTGGAGCAGCTACCCTGCACCCCTGGCCTCCTGAACATAAGCTCAGGAAAGGAGAAAATTCCTCTGTTACCCTTTTGCTTTAAAGTTGGGGCTCTTGCCTCAGGGGGTCACTGAAGAAGCCAGGGGCGCCCAAGAGACTCTAGCAGTTTCAGATTCAGTTTCAAGCATTACTAGCATAAAAGGTGTGGGGTGACTTTTGCCAAAGCCACTAACCCCGACATGACCTGGGCCGGATAAACCTTGGCCTAAATTGCCAAGATAGCCAAATGGCCCCACCTACTAACAGGGCCACGTGGACTCGTCTTACAAGGCTCAGATAGAATGGACGTGAAGGCATTTCCTAAACTGAGTGCCATGCAATGGAAGATTCCACTCACACTGAAGGGAGGACCTCTGCATGTGACTTTTTGGTATTATTTCATGGTTCACCCACAGTATGTACAAAGAACCTCCAGTCTAACTTGGCTAAGAGTGGTGCCAGGCTTCACAGCCATCCTGGGGGGTGATTCATGGCAGCCAGGGGGAACTGAGCCACTGGCCATGGGACAGGGTCCTGCCCAGGCAAAGGGCTTTACTGAGGGTCATTGTGTTAACTCCGCTGACCTTTGGACACTCCAGAAAGGAGGAAAGAGAAAGAGAGGAGGAGGCACCGAGGATAGTGGAAAAACCTGGGATCAAGGCAGTGAGCTGGGTTTGAATGTTTTGCCTACTTATGACCTGGGTGACCTTGGACAAGAGTTACTTACCATTCTAGTGGAGTTGTGAGAACTAATCTAACAGTGCTTCATAAACTATGAAGTTGGATACAAATAGATGTTTTCATGGCAAAAAAATGTACTCAGAGAAGTCTACGTGCCCAAGGTCACACAGTTGGGGATCAAACTTGGCCAGAATGGAATCTACCACCCAGTGCTGTTTCAAGAAAAGAATTGCCAGGCACCCAAATCTTCCATGTGGCCTACATACCTCAGGAAACCTATCGCTTTACAGAGAATAGAAATGGGGTCTAATAAGCCATTGGAAAGTTCAGTACTCCAAGTACTAAATGTTTCAAGGCCCAAGGAGACACGTTAATTGTACTTAATCCCATGAAGTTAACTAATGTTACTGCCAAATCTTCAGATACGCAAAACACTCAAACACCACGACCTCCCCTTTGGCATCACTGAAGGGTGTTGCCTGACACATAGGTCCTTGTAATTAACACACGGACATTTGTTTTGCTTTTATTATTCTTTTCAGGTTTCCAGTGGGAACTGGGTACAATAGGTTTGTTTGTGTGGAGGGATTCGTTAGGGGCGTGAGTGCCCTCGGGTTGGCTCCCAGTGCCCCTTCTTGTCAGCCTTTGCATCGCTTTGCCCTCGGCATTTATAAGGTAAAGGTGACCTGCCTTCCAATGAATTCTTGGTCATACATAATTGGCAATTTAGTGTGTGGCGTTTTTAGCATTTGGCCAATTTAAAAATCCTAAAATCATAAAATGTAGTTGTTAAATTCTTTGACTTCAGAAAAAAAAAAAAGGTGCTTTATAAATCCCATCTGCCTAACTTTTTGCAGGCTGAGGCTTTGGGATTCGGTTGTGTCAGGCTCCGTTACCATCCTTTGCTTTTGTCTTTTAAAGGGGGAGTCATGGACAATGTCGTCTGTGTGTCACCGGACACCTGGAAGGGAAAGGCCCTCCTTACAATCCCTCATGAGCTCTACCAGCCCTGCCCTCCTCCCTCTCCAGATCTGGAGTCCTCGCAGGGGCAGCGGCTGGGTTCTGCCCACCGGGCTGTCCCGAGGCCTCCTGAGAGCCACAGTGTTGGGGAGCAAGACCGTTCAGAATGTGACCTCAAACCCAAGCCCAGGTCGCCCAATCTGCGTCACGCCTTGGTCACGGTCATCATCGCTGGGGTTGCATGTGGGATCCTGTGTCTCATGATGCTTGTGGCCACCATCTATGGCTGCACCTATGCAGCTATCACAGCCAAGTACCGTGGGGCACCCTTGGCTCAAACCAACGAGCCTGTGAAGACAGAAGGAAAAGAGCTGTTTGATAGCTCACCAGCTTGAGAGCTTTCGTCTCAAATAGGAATAGTCACATTAGGCCAGAAGATAGTGTCTGGGGAGGGCTGATATGTTCACTGTCACTGCCTCATTTTGGTTTTCCCAAAAGAAAAAAAAAGAAAAAACAGATGTGTTTGTAAAACGTATTCCTGGGAAGAGATTTATGTTTATGTTGAGATTTTTAAAATGCTGTAGATGAAACAGAGATGAGACCTGTGTTCTGTGCCTGAGAAGTTACTAGAATTATTCTACGTAGGAGAAGACCATGCACAGAAGAAGGGGAGGTACTGTCTCTTTAAGGCCCTCTTCCCTGCATTAAGTTGCTTTTACAGAGCGCACAAATTCAAACACGTGTGCCAGTCAGCATTCCTGGGAGCTTTACGGTCCATTGGAAAAGTGCCCAATTGTGAGTGCCTGGGAAGAAGCTGGTGATCCTACCCAAGGGGCACTGAATGCCTCTATAATTCAAGTTCATGCTAGATTGGTGATACTTTTAGATGTTGTGTATGTTACATATTTAATGGGAGCGTCTGTTGGTCGGGAATTTCGTAGCTTGCCACAAGAGTCAGATTATATTTAATTTTCTAAATCAGAAAACCATTTGGGGCTTTCTAGGCCACAGAGGAAGAGGAGGGTTTCATGTCTGGATAATGGGACTGAGGCCCAGGGTCTGGGGAAGTTTTGGGATGCAAGGGTAAATCATGTATAAACAAACACAAAGACGTCGGGGAGCCGGAATTCGGGGCACCTATCACTGAAAGCCATATCCACCGGGCGATCGGAACCATGCATTTATAACTCACAGCAGGAATGAATTTAGGGTGGGCTGAGAGCGAGGGAATGGCTCGTGGGCATCTGCATCCACACCGCAGCGCACGGGCGCGCGGGCTTGGAGGGCCACACCCACGCGTAAACACACGCGCGGCAATCAGCTCGCCCACTAATGAGACGCAGCCGCGGCGGGGTGGGAGCCAGCAGCTGTTGACCGCCACCCGGATTGTCTGCTCAACACTCTGGGAGAGGAAGCAGGAAGGAAGTCGGGGAGTGGGAATGATCCCGGAGACCAGAGGTGTGCGGCAGCAGCCATCCTGAGCGGCACCGAGGCTGGGGTTTAAGAACTCAGGTGCGGCTTGCTTTCCTGCAGACACGGTCCCGGAGAGTTGCATGCAAAGTGAATTTCTGTAAATTGAATCATCATTTCAATGCAGTAGGGGAGCTTGCTATTTAAAGGAACCTTTCATGGAATCTTTCTGTAATGACAATAATTAGCTCCAGATTTATGCATTTTGTAAATTTGCATTTTCTCATGCCAGGTTTTCTTAAAGTGGAATCTACCTGCTCTGTCTCTCATGATGCCCCGTCTCATACTGAGTCACCTGTTAGTATTAGATTTGCTTTACACAGAAGAGTGAAGGGCATGTCAAAAGCAGACAACGGCAGATAGCAAGCTATCCCTCCGGAGGCCTTGACAGACATTGCTAATCAATCCCAGCACCTTCCCCGCTGAGCCTCCATGCACCACAGAGGCCTTCTTAAGACAGCACTGTAGGCAACCAGAACGAATCAATTGAACTTGGTTCAAAGGGTAGAATACATTTGCTATTCAGGGTACTGGCTCTACATTCACTCCTTCGGGCCATGTCAAAATGGGTTTGAGTCCTAAATCAGTAGTCCATTCCCTGACCTGGGATGTGAATGGGAGGTCTGCCCATGCAGGAGTACTGTCTCCCTCTGATGTGGCCAGAGCTTTGCCCAGCAGTGTAAGGGGCCGAGGAAAACAGACAATGAACCTACCACAGCTTACCCTGCAGGACACACACCAACGTGCCCTAATCATCACGGAGGCCATCTACCCCTGCCCACAGTGCCTCACAACCAGTGTGGGCCCCATGAACACCCACAAGCTAATGATGGACCATCTTTTCAGAGCAGCAATTTTGCTAAATGATTTTTCTGGGGGAAAACTATAAACTTTGATGTTAATTTTCCTGAATATGAAAATAAACCTGGATATGTTAAAGAGCAGATTGAAAAATTAGCATGGATTTTAAGATCAAAAAGAGACCCCAGAGAAAGCCAGCTGTTCTGCCCCAGTCCCAGTGCCTCGTTTCTGCTCTGTCTCGTGCACCACGTCAGTAGCGAGGCTGAGCATCCGGTCTAAGGATGTAGTGAAAAAAATGTTTCTTTCTCTTGCCCTGGACTGTGAGTCCTTGGCCAAGAAAGCAATATGAGAAAGGAAATGGAAATGTAGAAGATCCTCTTTTATGTTGTCCCCATTTCAGCAAATGTTTCCCGAGCTCGCGCTATGTACCAGGCATAGTGAGAGGCGTTCTCATGAGCATTTGTCATGTAATCCTGGCAACCACCCTGTGAGATACTTGAACAGATATTACATAAGCTGGAACTACTGAGGCCAATAATCCATTTCCTCCCACTGCTGTGATTTCAGACTGTCAGCGCCGAGGATTCTGCCAGAGGTTCGGTGACATTTCAGGCCAGCCCTGTCCCCTGCCCATAGCCGTCACATGCGAGAACATCCAACACACCACAGAAAACCCTGAACGTGGCTAGAACCCTCACCGGTCAGCACTCATGTCCTATTAGATTTCTAAGGAGAGATGCTAACTCAGGCAAACAGATTCCTGCTGTATAAATAGTCTTGAAGGAGAACGATTAAAATGGTGAATACGCATAATTCAGATTTCTATCTTTTGCCTACAATCACCACAAACAGCATTTGGCAATGAAAATAATTACTTACCCTGAAATGTCAACAGCTTCTCAGCACAGAAAAATATAAATCAAGTTGTTTAGATTAACAATGGCAGAGTTATCATTTGTTAATATGAGAAATGAAATGGTTTAACCGTAGAAAGCATCGCAGATGAAAGACCCAATTTGCAGGGTATCCTGCGAGAACCACAAATCATCTTTCACAACCACTACAGCTCATGAGCGGTAATTTGCAAACGCCTCACAGATTACTTTCAGCTGTTTATTGCTGCTGTCTGGTCATATTCATAGATCCCCCTATAAAAGTGGCCTTCCATCGAGTCTTGCCGAGGGTACATCGTGAGCAAAAGTCACGCTTAGTATTGATTGTTTCTGAGAAAACCATCTAAAATATAATTTTTTCACCATATTTAGTGCAACAGTATGACTACAGACTGGTGATTTGGCTTTGCCAGAAATCACAGATTCATAAGAGCGGGACCCAGTGATGCTGGCAGCCGGCTGAGGTGAAGCCTACAAGGAGCGAGTATGAGGGATGCACCCTGCCATAGAGATTGTGGAGAGAGAAGACCAAGTGTCACATCTGTACCTGAAAACCTTTCAAAACTAAGGCAAATATCCCTCTCCCTGAAGGAAGAATCTTGTGTTCAAGATGCTAAAATGCCAATGGACTACAGGATGTTTTCGTTTTCCTTATAAAAATTGAAGGCTGAAAAGTGATTCACAGTATTTCCTCCTAAGGATTCATGAAAATCAAATCTCATTACTAGAGTTAACCAAGTGGCCCCAGAAGTAAGACACTCTTTCTTAGATCCTAAATATCAACAGAAGTGGCTAAATCAATATCTAAAAGAATCTATCTGTGGCACACATTAATATAATTATACAACTGTTAGAAAGCTATAACTTTCTGCAGTAGATCAGGAAATACATGTTTCCAGTCTGGTCAAACCCACCAGTGTGTCCATTGTTAAATGCTATTAGATGGAAACCTATCAGCAAGTGATATTTCAACTACACATGGCATGACTGGGCTATGAGTTGTATGTGCAACTTTGGGGAAATATACTGTTTTCCCTTCTGATTAAAATGCTTTTTTATTATTTTTTTTAATGCTCAAATTGCAATGAGGTCTCAAAGAAACTCCCATCCCATTCAGAGAAGCAGCTTCATAATCCACCAATCTCCTTTCAGGTTTCTAACAAGGGTCCATTCTCACTTTTCACTCTGACGACACTAAATATTCATTTGGGTGAATGGGGTGTCATCAAAAAGACCCAGAAGCAGAACCAGAGGACTGGGAATGGAAAGGTCCTTGGAGAGCATTTAGTCTAATCCTGGCAAACTACAGGATAGCTGTGACTAACCTCCCAACCCATTTCAGACACTGCTAACAGATGAGAGCAAACTTATCTACTGGGCCCAGCCAAGGCCTCAGAATCCTTTTAAAGCTGTTTTCTAGGTACACTACTGATCAACTGATGTCATATGAGATGAAACCTACTTGATACCCTCATATAGTTCCATGTTCTTATTTTACAAATGGGAAATAGAAGCATGGAAAAGGAAAGGAACTTTCCCAAAGTTGTGCAGATAGTCAATTGCAGGCCTGATAAATGCAGTTGCGGGGCATGGGGTTAGCTTGAGTGATTCAACCCCACCCCTGCCATTCTTCATTCATTCTACGTGAACCACAATATCAAGACTGTGTCTTTATTATATTAATTATTTGGGTGAAGACAATTATAGTACCACCATCAACATTTACTGAGCACAGCTGGTTTCCAAGCATGATACTTGCAGTTTCTCTAAGCCTCATATTGATCAAAATATGTGGGTGTTTTACTTCCACGTTACAGGTAAAGAAACATAATCATTGGACTTGGGTCACTTGTACAAGCCACACCACTAGTAAGTAGTGGAGTAGGAGTTGGGATGTAGGTCTTCCCAAAGCCAAACTCTGGGCACTTTTTGGAATGTGACAGGTTTGAAGAAGTCAGAGCTGGAATCATTCCCTGGCACAGCCAGCTCTTAAAACATGGCAGAGAAAAGAAACCCAACCACCAACCAGTATGTTGCTGCCAGAGCTCTGGTCCCACCAACACCCAGAAAACCAGCATAGGAAGCCAAGGCGAAATGGGAAAATCAGTGTTTTTCTATCACATCGACTCTGCTGGGCTGGAAAAGATGTTCTTAGACAGAAGGGGAAGACAGTGCCACTGTTTTGTAGCTGTTTGAGAAAATGAAGAAATAGACACTGACTATAACGTAGTGTTTCCCATTGAAATCTTCATGAATATGCAGAAGAAAAAGTTATGAGGATATGAGAAGTTAGAAATACTGGTCC